AGGGATAGTTCTCCTTATCTTCTTGATAACATTCGATTATGGTGTCACCCATTAAGCTCCTAATAAATTGAAAAATAAAATAAAATTACATCCTCTCTCATTGAACTAGGCTGATCTCTAGAAGATTGCTTTTGATTTTGTTGTATCATAACTTGTGTTCCATTCTGTATCAAAGTAAAATATTTTGTTGCATATTTTCAAGCATATATGTTATAAAGTCAGATGTTGCGTTCCATAACATGATCTCATATATCACATTTCTTGTTATTTTTGGAGAGATGATCATCACCTATGTTAGATAAACATTGTCCAACCATAGCAGATCTAATTCTTTCAGATTTTTTTATATTTGAAATAGTTTAAAGGGAGTCCTTAAGTGCTTCAATTATACAACAAAAAATCGTTGTTACAGGAAATTCACTTAGCCACTTCTTTAATTTCACAATTTTGGGAAAGCACGATAACATGTATCTCAATTTTGTTATAAATACTCAATATAGTAGCTTCTTCGATATTATTCAAGCAACATAGTTTGAAAATTGCTTGAGGGTATTCTGATTCAACTGATGTTGAATGAATGTTAAGTTCAATAAACATAATGATGCTACTCTTCGTTGTATATCGATCGGATGTTTTCAGAACAATCCAAACTGGAAAGACTTGATTCTTTTCTGCTGCCAGGAAAGACTTGAATCTTTTCTGCTGCCACTGATACTTCACATCTAGGTCTCAATGAATGTGAATACACATATATACTAATGGTTGAATTCTTCGATGATGCCTCCTAGAAGATCCAACTTGATTACAGATACAATCCACATAGGACGAATATATAATCATAATCGAATTGGGTCGGTTATGTTCGGTTTTATGTATTATAGATTTAGGTTATCGGTTTTTAAATACACTAAATCAATAATCAAACTAGTAAGATGTTTTTATCAGTCTTAAGTCGTTAACGGTTCATTTTTTGGTTTAATCAATTAGAAAATGTTCATAAAATAAATATATGACTTCCAACATTTTATCGTGACAAAAAGATAATATTATTTTATTTAATGTTCATAAAATATACATGAAAAACATTATATAAGTGCAACAAAAATAAAAGAACTAGGACAAAACTGTGAATTGAAAGTTAAATGACAAAGGTAGTAACCAATAAGGTACTGATGTTAATATTTATGTAGGGTTAAAATAGTAAATTACTATAGTCTTAGTGGGTTATGTGCTTACCCAGTAAAATAATATTAAAAATCCAAAACTGAATCGCTAATCCGTGAATTTTTTATAAAATTATTAAAAACTCGTTAATCCAATAACTAAATAACAATAAATGAATAATATTTGGGATAAGGCACAAGTACCCCTTAGACTATGATCGGAATTCTAGAAACACGTCTTAACTAAACTAAGGTCCTATTATCTTACGTGGTACACTCCATGACTCCATGTAGTTGAGGCGCATGAAAGATATTTGAATGTTACGTAAGCCAAAACAATGTACAAGATTACAAAAAAAATGGGTTCAGGGGTAATGGAACTTTAGTTTAGTTAATTTGTGTCTCTGACATTTTAGTCATAGTCATCTAAGGGGTACTTATGTCTTATCCCATAATATTTTTTAAAATTTGATCTTTTGATCAGTTCAATTTTTGCATGCTCCTAACTACTGCAAATAGATAACATAACGACTCCGCGTTAAAATATAATGCATACCCGTGTTGAGAATTGTTGCGAATATAATTCTATGAAATATATTTTAACAATAACATAGAAAAAAACTCATGTGCAGGGAAGACTCTCAAAGGAGCAGCAATGAAGAGTTATCACCTACAATGCAAGTAAGTAAACTAAGATAAGGAAATGAAATCATCTAAAAGAAAGAAAAAAGGATTTGTTGTGACTTGTGATTTTGTGATCAATCAACAAATCACCTCTAAATCAAAAAAGGAAACATAGCATTAAGATTTGATAATCAAAACCAAGATTTGGATGGAGGATTAATACACGAAAAATAGCAAATACTCTGTATAAGGCATACATAAATTTCATATTGACGATCGAAAAGAAAACAATCACACAAACATATCTTATATGGACATGTATACTCAATCAAGAAATTAATATAAATCCTGAATCCTAAATTGAAAGAAATGCCCTTGGATTTTCTTAGTAAAGCAAAAAGCAGTTCAATAAAGCCCGTTATTAAAGTTAGCCTTACCAAATGAAATAGTTACACATTTCACATGAGCTTGTATATTGTCTCTTTGCATAGACACATGGTATTATTGTATTTCCAAATGCACAGACTTGACATCCATGTTTTAAAAAACTTTCCTTATATTGCATTTATTTTATGCCGTTTTATATTGAAATGAGTTTGGTTAAGTTTGAGTGCCAGGTAAGTTCTTCGGTTTCTTTCAAACTTATGTCTTGTTTTAGAATTCACCTCGCATACTCGTACATTTAATGTACTGACACCATTTGGTCTGCATATTTTATGATGCAGATACAGGTAACTAGGATCAGAATACTGCGCTTCGTTGATCCGGTTGAGCATTCAGAGTTTTATCGTAAGCCTCCTTGCCTTCTGGAGGATCCCTTTCGTCGCTTTCAGTATTAGTTAGTTCATTAGGATGTCGTGGGTCTTATCCCAACGTCCATCTCAATTGTTTTAGAGGCTTCAAAGACAATCAGATGTTAGTTCATTCGTCATTATCTTGTTATTGACTTATGTTCATATTTGAGTTGCCATTTTTGCTAAGTTAAATGTTTATTTCTGAATTATTATGAGTTTACTTTTGAGACTTTTGAATTATCTTGTGCTTGAATTCTCTTTCTCTTGCTTAAAAGTCTTCCGCTAAATAAGTAAGTCATGCCTAGGGTTCGCTTGGGGCCAGCAATGGTTATCGTGTGTTAGTCCCGCCCATGGTGTAAGCTCGAGGCATGACAACGTGATCCTACGCTTCATTCCTAGACCCTTTCTACAATAGGCGTCGACTACCCATGAAGTTGTTTACGAGTTGTAGATGGTGGTCATGGTTACTCTACATCAACTCGACTTTCATCTTATGGGATCTATGAGTGGACCATACGGTTCGTAAAAGTTAGTACGGATCGTAGATGCCCTCTCGTAGACGGTTCTTCCATTTTTTAAGAAGGGATATTTTAGTCTTTTCCCGCATTTAAGCCTAAGCTTCAACGATTTTATACATAATTAAGGTCCTTTTAATATAGTTCAACCCTATATCTTTCGTAATCACTCCCAAGACTTAGAGCAAGGATTCAAGAAGAAAAAACTAAGGTTTCAAGAATCTTCTTCAAGAATCATGATCTTTTCGGAATGTAAGACTGTTTATATTGTTGGACTAAGTTGAACCTTATTCCCTACATCTAAATTCAGTAAAAATAAATTTTAGGGTTTTACCTAAGTTCCATGAATCTTGAATTTGCTACAATACTGTGTATTCTGAGTTTGAATCATTGTTCATGTCTATTTTATCACAAGTAATCCTATTTTAGTTGAGGATCAATGAGGATATTTGCATAATTATTTTCGAGCATTGATTTTGCAATTAAAGTATAATTATTTTACCAAATCATTTGAGAAGAGCTTTAAGTGAACACCAATGGTTCCAAGTACATTCGTTTGTTTTGGAAGGCTTTACTAATTTAAGAAAAACATAAGAGTTTCATAAGCATTTTCAGTTCATTAAAGTAAAAGATCAGTATATGCTTAAAGATTACCTGAGTTTTATCTCAACCCAAATATTATATGAGCATAATTTCGTATTTTTGAGTAGTAATGCACACCAAATTGGTAGGAGTTAAGACAACTCAAAACCTTTAAACTATATAGTGAGCGTAGAATAGGATCGTACCGTTAGTTTGGGCGACTCCTCACTAGCCTCATTGAGGGCTTTTTAGTTGTATCATCATGGGGCTTAGAAACTCCCCAAGAAAAGTAAAGTATACTTCCCTTCGTCCACAATTGTTTGGTTGGTATACTAAAAATAGATATCCAAAATTAATTGTCAATTTAAATATTAAAAAAATAATTGGTTACTTTTTTCCAAATTTGCTCTTAATGATAGTGTAGTTCAATCGAAAAGTTATGTAGACTTTTGATATTGTTGATATAGTTGGATTATATTAGTCAAATTTCATCTTATATTAAATTTTCCTTGAGGGAGTGTGCATGACCTTAACATGACAAACAATTATGGACGGATGGAGTATTATTTTAGTATTTGCTATCATTGCATATCTTATTGTGAAGCTTTTAATGATTTTATTTCATCTTTATGCTTTACTTTAGTTACGTGATTTTCAATCTTCCATCTAGTTCAATTATTTCTTTCATTCAGCTTTATTGAATACTTTAAATTTCATATACTGAGTCATTTGACGTTGCATCATTTATATGCAGATACAAATATTCAGAATCATCAACAGACTCTTCGTTGACATCAGATCATTATTTTCCCCACATCACCTAATCGATCACCTTGAGACTTTTTTTCCCCATCAATAAGCAACATTTATTTTCTTCATGCCCTAAATATTTGTAATGAGTGTAATACAGTGGAGGATTATAAGACAATTTTATGATAATGTCCAATAGTTTAGCCCGATTCTTTCTCCAAACTATAGTTTTACACAATTTGAATGATTACCTAATATGTCTAGGATTATCTTAATCCTAGAGGTACTTGACCTGGTTTGATCTTGTGTTTGCTTTATCCACCACAATAGGCTTTCTTAACAATGTCGCAATCGATAATAAGGACCTCCTCACAAAGAGACCTATAGATAACTTTGACAATGAAATACATACACAGACATTAGGTGTTTCCTCCTTAGGATTGAATTGATGTCGTTCTAAACAAATATCATTTGCCATTAAAATTAAAATATTCATAAGAATTTGATAAAATCGGTACAAAGTCCTTATATAAATCAAACGTGACAAAAATCAAGTTGTCCGAGATATAATTTCTTCTAACATCGAATTGCTTTGGTAAAAGCTCTCACAACTCTAGTAACATTATTTTTTCATAAGCAAATTTGATAATCACTACTTGATGTAAACCTTGTTTCCTAGCAAACTACCCCCTTTTTTCATAGTAAATCTCATAGTAGTTTCTCCATGAATAAACTCAATGAATTTTAATACGAGTTTTAGTAGATATTGGATTATTTGATAAAAAGAGTGTTTGTGTATTAGGGTTTCCATTTGTCTCTCCCACAGACAGAGACAGAGACGGGAAAAGAGCGAAGTAACCATGGTTGTTATACAAGTCGCCATATATAGAGGAAAAAGAGCAGGGGAAGGGGCTAGGTAACTTATTTTTAAAACTCAAAGTTATATTTTTTGAAGTTTAAAATTTGTAAAACTATATTTTCAACCCTAATGATCTCAATCACTAATTAAAAAGAATATGGCTTGCACTAGTCTAATAAAACTTGTCGCCAATTTTAAATCCAAACAATTTTTTTCGTCATCTTAAGCATAAGCTGCGTCTCAAAATTGGTATCTGTCTGGTTATGTGGGTATTCGGCCACCGCAACTGAGATCAAGAGATGTCAGGGCGTGAATGCTGTGAGAATCCACCGGCTTTGAGCTCAAGTAGCGGAAATGGGTGTGTGTTAAAAGTTGGAAGCTTCAACGCATACGTCTCTGGTCCTTCCACTTCCAAACTCGCCATCCTCCTTGTCTCTGACGTTTATGGTATGCATTTCCCCTTTAATTTGTTGGGTTGGGGTAATATTAGTATTCTACTCATAGATTAATTTTAAGATGAGTTTTTTTGATGTTTGATTGCAAGGATAACCTATTTCTGCATTAGTTATTCGTGATTGTAGTGTTATTTTATCCCGAATCGGGGTTGTAATAATGATGCGGATAACTAATCCCGGGAGAACTTAGCCTGTTACTCTAGTTGCAACAGCTATAGCAACAGGATGTATGGTCTGGAAGGTTTCCTTCGAGTTTACAGCAGGATGTATAACAGATGTTTGTTATGAAACAGTTAATTTATTATGATACAAGGATTGACTTCTTTGATAGACAATCTCTTATGGTCTTAATTCCTTACAGGTTATGAAGCCCCAAATCTGAGGTACATGCTGCTTCTCAACTTCAGCCTGTACATGTTATATATATATATATATATATATATATATATATATACACACAAATATATATATATATATATATATATATATATTTCTGTAACTATCCACATCCATTGTGGGTCAAAGTAGATGTAGGAGATGCTTCTTGTAGAGCAGATTTTTATAGCTGACCTAGCTTGCTCGAGATTAAGGAATAGTTAATTTTTGCTTCTGTGTAACTTCTATTCTTACTTGTCAGACGTTGGAATTTTTCGTTACAACCATAACTATTCCAGAAAAAGCGTCTAACTGCTGGTGATTCTATGGTGTCTTATCTTTTTTAATCTTTTGGTTTCATCAAGAAGAAGTGGGGGACAGCGGTCTTTGTGTTTGTCTAGTAATTAAGCTGCAAGGAGTTCTTATTTTATCTTGGGCTGATCGCAAAATCCAACTGTTTTGTAGGAACATTGTTGACAAAGTTGCAGCTGCAGGATACTATGTGGTGGTTCCTGATTTTTTTTGTGGTGATCCTTATACGATTGAGAAAACTTTATCAATCTGGATACAATCACATGGAACAGTAAGTTTAGGATTTGTTGAAACTTAATCTTTGTCTCTTTGGTAATGTGTAGCTATAGATTTGCCTCTCAAGAGTCGAAGGAGGCTATGCCATACCATTTCTCAATTCATTAAGCTGCTGATCATACTCGGGAATGTTCGTGACATTTATAAAGTAGGCTTCTAACCATGTTATTCATATTTTATTTTGTTCTTGTTAGGCTAAAGGATTTGAAGATGCAAAACAGATTATTGCAGTTCTCAAAGATAAAGGTATATCTGCAATTGGAGCTGCAGGGTTTTGCTGGGGTGGTAAGTTTTTAACTCAATGGTTTTAGGGTTGTCTAACCCTTTCCCTTACTAGAATGTAAAGGGTCAATGTTCTTGCGATTGTTTGTGATCCTGACCTCCAGTTCACTTAACAGCAAAGGTGGTTACTGAGCTAGCTAAGTCTGACTACATTCAAGCTGCAGTGCTATTGCACCCGTCGTTAGTGAAAGTTGATGATTTTAAAGGTATGGCTGTTATTACTAAAATCGTCTGTGATCAAATTCAGCTATTACTGTGCTGATTTTACACTGATCTGTTGCATTATGCACCCATTTCATTTGGTGTTCTCAGTGTCACTTGAATCCAAGATTTATACGCATTTGTTGTGTATGCTATTTATATGTGGGCCATTGAGATCCAGATGATGGTTGGTTCTCTAGAACTTGATATGCGTGTTATGTATTCGTTTATGCCTCAATTCCAATCCAATATTGAAACTTGCTAATAGTTTTATGAATATCCCTTGGTGTAATCGGTATTAAGTGTTGTTTGATTCTGATGACTACCTTGAACTGCATCACCATGGAATCTTTCCTTTTTCTCTTTAATCTTCTTATTTGTACCTTATTTTTTCCTCACCAATTGATGATACATATTACATGCAGAGGTTAAGGCACCAATAGCTATTTTAGCTGCTGAGATAGATAAAATCTCCCCTCCAGAGCTTATTATCCAGTTTGAGGAGGTCTTATCATCAAAACCTGAGGTACATGAACATCACAGTTGCTTATTAGGTTTTTCTCGTCATTCTAAAATGATTGATGTTTGAAATTATAATGTCTTGTTTATTCATGGATATACAAGTAGGTGACTAATTTGATTTCTCTCAATGTGTGTTACAAGATTTTAGATTCACCCTTTGCTTTGGTTTGCTCTTGTTGGTGTTGTTTAAAAGATGGAGCAGCACAGAAGGATTGAAAATGTCTCTCTATATTTAATTAAGCATAATAGGGCTTTAAATAGCCAACTTGATAACATAATCTGCAGAAATCTGCATAACAAAAATTTAAAAAGACTAAATAATCTCAACAATTAAAACAATTTAACAAATATGTAAAATTCAAATTCATCCTAAAACTAGGTAACTTATTATTTTAAAAATATAACTGTACTAACTAAAAACAAACTCAACAGCTCTCTTGCCTTCTGTTTTTATAGGTGGACAAATTTGTCAAAATTTTTCCTGGTGTTAAGCATGGATGGACAGTGAGATACAATGTTGAAAACAAAGAGGCTGTGCAGCATGCTGAAGAAGCCCACCGGGACATGTTGGATTGGCTTACCAAGTATGTCAAGTGAGTGCAAGGATACCTGGATGTCACAATTTCCCGTTAAGAAGTCTAAATATCTGCAATCAGAATAACTATGCAGCTAAATATTGATGAACTCCGTATTGTACATCTTGTTTGATGAGATGTTATCTTGCTGTGACTGTTATTATCTGAAACATGTGGATAGTCTCATACTCTTTATGCCTGAGAATTGTTTAAGTAAGGCGTGATTCTGCTTCAGCTTGTCCAATGTATCTGTTATGAGTGCTTTAAAGACTGCAATATAATTTCATATCTAAACACTGGTGTGACCACCTGATGGTGTGGAAACCAAAAATGGCTGATATAAGACCGGCTTAAATAGGCCGAGGTGATGATTAGTACTCGGCTATTAATGAAGATTTATCACAGATTCTGTATGTTTTCCTTGTATGTGCTGTTTGCATGAAAATGATAAATTTTTAGCTACACACACCTATATATGCACCTTCCCTTAGGTACAACATAATATGATAATTGAATGTGATAAAGGAGACGAGTTAGACCTAAAGTCAAGAAAGCTATTTAAAAGACTTTTAATCTCTTAGAAAACAGTAAGTACTTAGCTAATAGCTATGAACTGACTATAGTAAAAGTAAAGAATCTATGATTCCAAGGAGTTGTGAATAAAGCTTAGTTGTTCCAGTTACATTTGATTTGTTATTTGTTAGAAACCTTTAAAGAGTGTAGTATAGACTTGCTAATTTCGGACACAAGACATAGTTGTTTATGTGATTTGTAGAGAGAACTAGATGAAATCAAAATTCAATAAATTTTCTATTTGATTTGGTTAATATCTAATATAAAGGCGTTGCTTCAGGTACAGTCAAAAGGGAAGTGGACTTTGCAATGTCCGAGGTCCCCATTCCTCTATGTGACTTGACTATTCTTAGATGAAACATGCAAACAACTACAATGATTTGCACTTTTCTTCTTCAGTATTCTATACACTGTCAGCATAGCGAACAGAAATAATATAAATGAAGGTGCATAAGCGGGAAGGCCCCCCCATACACTGTCAGCATAGTGATTCTACTTTAGACTGATTTTTGGCTCCATAAACGAGACATAAGATGTCCAGTTTAATTCTGCTCAATCCATGTACCATCACCAAGTTGTAAGAAATGTACTTCCCAACTTGTTGATTGGCCTTAAAATGGTTCTTAAGCTGTGAGTATAGCCTGGACAAAACATTCAGAAACTTGTTGATAAGTCAAATAGCCAGGAACATGGGCGGAGCTACCCTTGTCCAAGTGGAGTCAATTGAAACTCCACCGGAATATTACACGGTGTAGAATATTTTCCTTTTTTAGATATACATTTTCTTGACTTCAATTGTTGTTGTTTTTTATATTTTAAATCCCCTTAGTGAAAATCGTGACTCTATTGTTGGGAAGGAACAAGTGAAGTCACCATAACTTGATGAAATCAACTAGAGCAGAAGCTTACAAGTGCAAGGATATTTCAGGTGCTTGTTCTCCGTCTGGAAAACCGAAGTACTGCATATCTTGAGAAAGCAAAAGTAGATTTTGTCAGGTAAGTAGTGCAACAGAAAATAAAGCTTTGATGGGTCCATAGTTAACTAGACAAGGATTTATTGCACCCATCTTTTAAAGAGTTTTTACAATATCAATGTAGTTTAACTTCTTGTTGTAGGTTACTGTTTGTTCCCAATGTACTAATCCAGCTTCTTATAGATGGTTAGCTATAGTTATCTTTTAGGCATCCTATTTTTCTCAGAATTCTACTGTCATCTGAAGCACCCTTGGGCATCTCCAATCCATCTGTAAAGTGCAGATAATTGTTAGGACTTTTTCTAATGTAGTTTTTAATTATTTTACACTTTCTAAGACAAGTTTAAGAAAAATAATGAAAATAACATCTAATTTTTTTCTTTATATCTTATTTTCTTAAGAGGTGTGTCGTACTCTTTAACAAACCACTTAACATGGACAAGGAGCAGTAGAATTATTTCCTCTTGCATGTGCTTGTCAGTAGTCAGTACTCAATCGATGTTTTCTTTCTTACTATCATTTAATTGGTGTGCTTGTCAGTTGATGTTTACTTTTTACAACCACTTCATTGATGTTGTTACCTGTTAATATAGGTCAGGTGTCTGTATAAATTTGATAAATTTGATGGCAATGGTAATGCACATTTCTTTTAGATAAAACATTTAGTTCAACTATTATGTTTGATAATATTACTTTCTCGTCCTTCTAATTGCATGCTAAGAGGAATCTAATAGGAAGCTTCGATCATAAATTTATTTGTGGTAAATTTATTTAGTTAGATTCTGAGATTGTCACTCACCTAATAATTATTATCTCATGAAGTCATTTTCTTGGCTAAAAATCTGGATTCAAGAAGAAATGTGCCTTTGATCTTACCAAGTTGAGAGAACCACATAAGAAATCAATCGTAAAAATATCTTACTAAACATTTTAACTTTTTGTTTATTTCATGCTACAATTTAGGAAAATATTTTCCTAGAAAATGTTTTCTTGGAAAACAAGTAGATTTTAGATTTATTTTCTCATGTTTGTTTGGTGAGTAGAAAATATTGTCCGGAAATAATTTTTAGTGTTTGATTTATGAATGAAAAATGCTTTTGAGAGACATCTTTTATTTTTACTAGAGTAAAAAATAATTTATGACATTGAAAGTATTTTTAAAATCCAAATTATTATTTTTTTGGGGTAGTGGGTGGGGGCGGGGGGAGGGGAGGGGGAGGGGAGGGGGTAGGAGTGTAAAAATAAAAATTCAAAGTTGATAGTATTTTTAAAAAATAATATTATTTTTTTGGGGAGGGGGGGGTCGGGGTGGGTGGGGGCTGGTAGGGGGGCTGGCCGGGTGAGGGGGGTAAGAGTTTAAAAATAAAAATTTAAAGTTGAAAATATTTTTAAAAAGTAAAATTAATTTTTTTTTGGAGGGGGGGGGGGTGGCCGGTGGGGGGAAGGTCAAGGATCAGGTGAATAAAAATTTTGAAATTGAAAATATTTTTTTAAAATTGATGTTTTTCCCCAAAAAAAATGTAATTTGAAATTGGAGGAGAGTTATGGAAAATGTTTTTCTTAATTTTTGAAGGGAAGTCATATTACTTAATTTTGAGGAAAATGAGTTGATTTGGAAAACATTTTCCAAAATTTTTGTCCCAACCAAAAATGGAAAAATTGAAAAACATTTTTCAGAATGTTTTCCTTCATACCAAACACATTCTTAGTGATTTTCAGTACTCAGTATTAATTCTTTACAAGAAAGAGTATGAGGGATTGTAATGATCTTTTGATGAATGGTGAATTTGCAATCATTTAAGGCTCTTTTCTTATGATTTTGTGGCATTCATGATTGTTGCACTCAAGTGGAGAAAGAGGCTAATTACCGTTTGAATTGTGTTAATTTCAGGCATTTAATACGAAAAATGATACACAAAAGTGGAAAAGGAGCTTAAACTGGTAGAAATTGAGCCCTTGCACTTGCAGAGATGAGTTCGCTTTTGCGAAGACTGAACTCGCAGTCAAAGGTCGCTTAGGCTACCATGTGGGGTTCACTTTTGTGAACTGGCCAAAATTGGAGAAATTCACTTAAGTGATGGGAGTATCGCTTTTGCGAAGCCCGCTCAATAGGTCAACGGGCAGAAATGAAATTTTTCAGAATTAGACCCAAATTCACACACAAGGGCTGGAGATAAACATTATTCATGATCCGAAAAATCTAGAGAGAGAATGTTTTATAGTGAAAAACTCATCGTTTTATGTTAGAGTAGATTTCTTGTTGCTTTTAATTTTTGGTTGAGACTGAAAGCAAATTGCCTCATAATTCATCCTTTGGTTTGAAGATAGTGTTTCTTTACATGAATTCTGGATGTAATTGTTAAGTGATGTTGGGGTTTTGTGCAGAAATAGGCAAATCCTTTGGCTCTTTGATTCCTCATCCTATTACTTTTGTATTTGATTCCATGATTAACATTTATGAATTGGATGTAAACTAATTTTCATGTGTAATTTATGTGTTGAGAGTGCACGCTCAATTCTAGCATCTAATTTGCGTGAGTTGCTCGAAAGAGAATTTGTGAAGTGGAAAATTAGGTTGATAATCACATATTAGCTTCGAATCTTGAATTTGAAACTGAAAGGAGAAAATTCAAGTTTTCATTGTTTAGTGTAGGGCTTACTTGAAAGAGAGATCATATTCAAGAAATTAGGTTGTTTTGTTGAATCACATTATTAAGACCGAAAGGGATGTCATGAGATAATCCTTTGAGATCGAAAGGAGTCTAGGATTAACCTATGATGACCTAGCCTACCTATGAGTAAATGAGCATGTGTTGAGATTGCAATGGATCGTTGAGTGAGTGTTGAAGTCCAAATTTCCTAATTCTCAATTATTCCTGGGTTGATTTGTTCTTTGCCCAAAGTATATATATTTGTGTTACCAAATCATTCTCTTAATTTAACAATTGTGTATTCTGTGTTTAGATTCTAGCTTGTAGCTATTAGTTTTGTATGTAATCAATTGTCGACAAATTATTCATTGTGGGATTCGACCTCGATATGTATTTTTATATTGATATGACAACTTATTCTTTTAATTGGTTTTGAAGAGTAGTTTGAGTGTTATCACCTTCCATGCCATTTTCTTTGTTTTTCAATTTTTTCAGTGTTTTAGAGCTTTCCTATAGTGGCTCCAAGTCATTTATAACTTGTTGGGAGTTACATTTTGATCGCCGGGTCATTCGTTTGAGATTTGTGCAAGTTTTCATATTTTGGAGCATTTTAAACTTGAATGGTAGACTTCAGTCAAAAGTTCAGAAAGATAAGTCTTGGATGCAATTCTAACATTTTCATCAACTCCGAAACGAACATTTTAGGCTAGGGCATGGTTGTTTCGGACCCCAAAGCTCCCAATGCGAGTTTAAGGCATTAAGCCTTTTAACTTTGAAGCTTAAGTCAAGGTTTGACCGTGGTCAATATTCTTGATAAACTGGCTTGATTGAGAATTTCGTCAGTGCAGGCATTTAGCGATAAAAATTTAAGCTTTTAACGACTAGAAATACCTTTTAGCGACCAAATTTCTCGATTTAAATACCGAAAATCATCATTAGCCCTCATTTTCAAACTTCGATGTATCAGGCTATGAAGCTCCATTTAGGGTGATTTAAGTTGCGTTTGATCTGTAATTGGTGTGGATACATGTTGGAATGAGTGGAAAGTGTATGGAACTCTCCTTTTTAGGTAATTTCTTCCCCGAAGGTGTTGCTCAACTCTCTTTGGTATCTTAAATGGTGTTTTTGTTGGATGTGTGTGTCTGGGCTGTTCCGCATATGGAATTCCTCATTTTAAGGAACACACTTGTAAGTTGATTAGGACCTTTTGACAATGTTAATTTTGGGATTTCCCATTCAAGTCCCACATTTCATGTTTTTATTGGATTTTGGGTCCATTTCAGATTGTTGCAATTTTAGGGTTTAAACATCTATAATGACATATAGTGATCGATAATTTGATAGTTTGACGGTGTTCGGAGGCGCTTTGGAAGCTGATAGCCCTTGTTCGGTGGATTTATAGAGCTCGTGATCAGCTTTGAGGTAGGTTTCAATCTACTTTTTATTGGGCTTCTTGGATAATACTTAGTTAGTATAGAATGCATATGACTTTGGATTGTATTTTCCAGGTATTTAGCTTCCTTTTGTTATTTCATCTTTCTAGATCTTATATTATCCTTGGGCTTATTGTGGATTCTGGTATCCTTAGTTTAGGCTTGTAACTTTTCTTGTGGAGTAGATGATCTCATTTATCCTTTGTTAGGTTTTTTACATGTTGCTTTAGTCTAGGTTTGGACCTTAGATGTCGTAGATTGTGTATTATCGCCCTTGTTGTTGTGAAATTTCTCTTAGTAGGCTTTGTTTCGGGTTTTTCTTCTTGTGTTGGTGCTTGAGACCTTGGTGGCTCATAGTACCATAGTTTAGCTCTATTTGTGCTCAATTATGGACTAGACTGGTGTTATTGGGGTAGGGCGTCGTCCCTTGAGTTCACTCTCCCTTTACTGATTTACTCGGCTCAATTCTAAATTGGTTTTAACGGGACTTACTATATAGATCACTTGGTATTTAGTTTTTGAGATTACAAGGCTTCAGGAATGTGTTGTTTTCCTACTTGAGATATTAAAGGCATATGGAGTTGCTTAGTTTGCCGTCGATGCCATACCACCATATCTAGACAAGATATCTTCAATGTTGTAACTAGATCCTCTAACCTAGCCATCGCCGCCGCACTTTCTTCGACGAGCACCACTGCTATCAACGTCTCCCTTTTGAGGCGAATACACGGAGTCAAGAAGATTTCAATGTCAAGATCTGATGTCAAGAGTATAGAAAGATAAACAAAGAATTGGACATGGAGATGGTTGTTGTTGAAGGTGGAATATGGTGAAGAAGATGTGATCTTCTTAATTATTTTTTAATTTTTGTATTATTTTATATTTTTGTTAACATTTTTAAAATTGAAATATAGTACTCACTCGCCTTAAAGAGTGTGAAATCACACACTTTTGCCAACTCATCCATCTTAAAGCCACCACATAAGTGTGGTGAATGGTCAGAAGGATCCAATAATTTGTGTTTTATTGAGTCTAAGGATCAAGATGACAAATAGATAAGTCGAAGGGTTCAAAATACAAACCGATAGAAGTACAAAGGTCCACCAGACCATTTCACCAATTCCAAAATCAAACTATCAAAGGAAAGAGATGGTTTGAGTTTCTTACACGTGGATATAAAAGGATTATGGCAAATAAAATTAGGCTAGATTGAGAAAAAAATTACAGCATTCACGGTACACTTTAGACTGCTTTTTGTACTATTATATGATGCCATGTTCGTTCTCTCTTACTCGCTTAT